AAATTATTTTTAATAGATTTCCATACGTTTCGAGTTCCAATTTGACTTGTATTTTCTTCTTCAGTAAACAAAATACACAAATTTATTAAAAAAAACACAAAACTCACATTAAATAAACAAAATACTTTAAAATATCACGATCAAGAATAAAAAGTATTTAATTTAAAAAAAAAATCAGAGTTAATAAATAAATGAGAATATTTAAATGATATTATGGACTCCCCATATTTGTCGTGAAAATAATTAAATGAAACATTAATTTTAATTTAATAATGTAGTTGTTTTATTTATTTTCATTACACTGCAATTTATAAAAAAAACGGATCGCCGGGAATTTCGATTTTTTTTTCAATAAAAAGGTAATTTTTTTAATATAATAAAAATAGTGAAATCTGTAGAAACTACTGACATAAATTCAGTACTACTGATATATTAAGATGAATAAATAATAGAATTAATTATTTATTAATCATATTATTTATATAAGTCGATCTTGACCTACATATATATATATATATATATATATATATATATCAGATGTTTTTAACGGAATTCTCAAAAATTGTAAGATTTATAGCTTTTCTCAGAATGCAATTACGTTTTTCCGAACTTGTGACTTGTAGTAGATTTATACATACATACATACATACACACATATATACACACATATATATATATATATATATATATTTGTATATGTGAAACAACTACAAAATACTTCACGTAACTTTTGGCTCTTAAACATATTTGTTATTTTTGCGCGACGATTTCTCAGAAATTAACATTTTTCAATAAAATTTCTATAACACATTTATAAATTATATAAGTATATATATATATATATATTTATATATATATATATATATATATATATATATATATATATATATATATATATATATGTGTGTGTGTGTGTGTGTATGTTCGTTGTAATATGAAAACCGCATTAAAAAAACTCAATAATAACGTACAATCCAGGCAAATTCGAATCACTTTGTAAAAAAGTTAGAATTAGTATTAAATAGATCGTTTGTATCGCGTTATATGGAAACCAACGAATATTATATAAAATGTATAGTAAGTATAATAAAAAAATAGAAAATAAACTAAACTAAAAAACTGTTTTCAATCTGACACCACTCTGACCGATGTCATGAACATATCTAGTTACTAAAGTTATTCACAGATCGCGCGAAAGTAATTTATTGACTGTTAAACATAAACCGCGTTGTAAAAGTACCTTCTTATCAGAGGGTTAACTGTATATTTAACTTCCCGTAGGGCAAGTTATAGTAATCGCAAAAAAACGAAAATGAAAATTGTTATTTATCTTTACGTTTCAAACCCTTCTGAACATTTTGGCATACCTTAGAAAAAATGGATGTATATATGTGTGTGTGTGCGTGTGTGTGTGTGCGGATACAAATGTTCGTCGACGATTTCGGGAACACCGATCAACCGATTTAAATATTTCAAAAAACATTCGATTCGCACTGATAAGGAGACGTGCTGATTAGTTTTTGGCGAAGGCAGGTCTAGCCGTTCCGAAGATACGGGGCAAAAAGTGCCAAAACCGGTAACTCAGTTTTTAAGAGAACGGAGCGTCCGATTTTAAAAATTCAGAAAACATTTTACTTGTATTAACAAGATGAAGAACAGATCAAATTTTCATGAAGCGGTTTCGGAGATCTAGTGAAAGAAATGTAAAAAAAAATGCCATTTGGCGGTCAAAAATTATCATTAGACATATTACATCAAATTATCAGATATTTTATAGAGATTTTAACAATAAGTACAAATTTTTGTTTATATGTCTTTGGGTTCCGTAGCAATATTTATCCGTTAGACGGCGACGCGGCGCTTACGCGCTTCGATATTTCGTCTCTATGCAGTTAAAGCAGTACGATTGCTTGAAAAAATTCAGAATTTTCTAAAATATTTCAAATAAATTTTTCTGCAAAAAGTTTTTTTTTCAAAAAAAGTAAATTTTTGTCAAAAATTTATAGTTTTTAAAAAAAAATCTAATTTTTTCAGAGTAAATTTTTTTCAAAAATGTTAATCTTTTAAAAAAATATATTTTTGGTACGGAAGTTCCAGCAATTTGCCTTAAGGCATGATCCATGCGCCCCACTATTTATTTATTTATTTATTTATTTATTTATTATTTACACACCAAATCGGCTTTATACAGTTGTATAATATTGTTTGCTAATTCATATCTTGTATATTTATATCTATATACATATACACACATATATATATATATATATATATATATATATATATAATATATATAAATACACATACATACACATCTACTACATACAGATACACTCGTATACTCATATAACGCATACCTAATATTCTTCTCTCCATTTCTTGTAGGAAAATACCGGTAGACCTCCTGGTGAAGCCAAATTGGTGTCACCGCGCAAAGTTGACCACGAAGGCAACTTTGTCAACCTCCAAAACAACACCTTAGATTACCACCATAATTTTACCAGGGACCTGGTTCATTATAGAATTGCTGGATTCGTGGAAGACGATGGTGCGGAATATCATCTTGAGTTGAGGTATCTGAGTAAAACATTTTTATTTATTTTTTTTTTTATTTCATAAGTATTCAACTGCTAAATAATTAACATTTAGTAATATTGATAAATAATAACATAAATTTAATAAATAAGAGTGCAAAGGATAGAATTTACATGAAAATAATATCCGTAATATGATTTGATATAAAATATAAGCAAATAATAATAAAAATAAAATTAATAAGTAATATAAATAAAATTTCTAAATAATAAAATAATACTAGAAAAATAATAAACTATAACAAAATAACAACATAAAGTAATTTTGAGAATCTGTTATAAAGGGTATAAGTGTACCATCTAATTTTGTCCTCAGACCTTCGTACTCTTTTATATCTCCCGCCCTGGTGGTGGAGCGTCATTCAAGACACCGCCGGATAAGGAGGTCTCTAGCTTCCGGGGATATTGGCGCTTCCGGATGCCATTTCCGGGGACGAGTCCGGGGTCACAGTAGGTCTGCGGTCGCCATGTCGACGTGCGACGGCCTGGTAGGTAGAAATGAATTATATATTATATATATATATATTAGGGTGGTCCTTAAAATAGTCATTGTCGATTTTCCTTGCTCCCAGGGGCTCAATGGTTCCAAATTGATAAAAAACAATTCTCGAAATTTTTAGCTCTTAATATTAACGTTTAGATAGAGCGCAATTCAATCAAAGTTTGTATGGAAAGAGCATAGAAAAATTTTTGAAAATTAAAAAAAAATGTTTTAAAGTATAACTTAGCGATAAATGAATGATTTTATATCATTCATTTGTTTGCTAAATTACATTTAAAAAACACTTTTTAAAATTTTTGAAAAAAATTTATGCTATTTCCATACAAAACTTTGATTGAATTGCGCTCTATCTAAACGTTAATATTAAGAGCTAAAATTTTCAGAGAATTGTTTTTTTATCTATTTGGAACCATTTGAGCCCCTGGGAGCAGGAAATTCAAAAATGACCATTTAAGGACCACCCTAATATATATAATATATATATATATATATTTGTTTTATTTTTAGTTAGGCTACATTCGTTCAGACGATGGAGAATTTTGGATAGAACCAAGTGGGGTTCATGAACCCAGCGAGTTGGGTGATAGACCCCATGTCTTGTTCAAGAGGTCAACGCTACAAGCAGAGGTACGATATATTTTTATTATTATTATTATTATATATATATATATATAATATATATATATATATATATATTATATATATATAGTTCTTTATCCTGTAAATTTAGAAGAACTAAAACAAACCTTTCTATCAATAAAAGTTACTAGTTCAGCGGGTCCGGATCAGATACCTAGTCTTATTCTTAAAGAATTCTATCCCTTTTTCATAGATAAATTTATGTTATGTTTAAATAAATGCTTCGATGAAGGAATATTTCCATCCCACCTCAAGCATTCAAAGATTTTTCCACTTCATAAGAAAAATAATAAAGACGATATAAATAATTACCGTCCCATTTTCCCTCTTGAACTCTTTCGATAAAATTATTGAAAAAATCTTGCATACTAGATTAACGTCTTTTCTCAATAAATATAATATTTTGTTCAAGAATCAGCATGGTTTCCGAAAGAACCATTCTACTTCCCACTCAATTTATAATTTAGTTCATAACATCATTGACTCCTTCGAAGAAGCCACATATTGTACTGCTATATTTTGCGATCTGTCCAAAGCTTTTGATAGTATTTCTCATCAAAGACTTCTTGATAAATTAGAAAATTGTGGTATTCGCGGACGTTCGCTCACACTATTTGAATCTTACCTATCTAATCGAACACAAAGCGTTTACTTAAATAACGATCACGAGCAAATAATTTCGGATAAATTGACAAGTTCATTGGGCGTGCCCCAAGGATCAATTTTAGGGCCTCTCTTATTTCTCATATATATTAATAATTTACCTCATTGTACAAATCTTTGTGATTTTATTCTTTTTGCGGATGATACCAGCGTTATCATCAAGGCCAAATCTCTTAATGAATTACAACATAAATTAAGCGTGGTTATGTCAGAAATAACGAAATGGCTTTGTGAAAATAATCTAGTCCTCAATAATGATAAGACCCAAATCATATCTTTTTGTACAAAAAATCGTTTATCTAATAATATTACTTTTTTAACCATCAATAATTCAGCATATAATTTTTCGCAAGTATCAAAGTTTCTTGGTATCCATATTAATAATAATTTAAAGTGGTCTGATCATATCTCTATCTCACTATCACCAACTTTATCTAGAACATGTTTCATGTTGCGCACCCTAAAACCCAAACTCGGTTTAAATTGCTTACTTTCAGTTTATTATAGCACCTTTTATTCTCACGTTTCATACGGCATCCAATTCTGGGGTTTTTCATCCGAACTAATTAAAATATTTAAGCTTCAGAAAAGAGCTGTTCGAATAATTTTTTCCTTGCCCAGTAAAGCCTCCTGCAGACCCATATTTAAAAAATACAATATTCTAACTGTCCCATGCGTTTTTCTGCTGGTAACATTATCTTTCATCAAAAACAATTCGAAACTTTTTGATCTGGCTTCGTCCTCCTCAAACTACAACACTAGACACAAACTTATTAAGGCGCGTACATATAAATTAGCCAGCTCTTTCAATACGATCGACGGTCTAGGTATTCAGCTTATGAATAAACTTCCACTCAATATCCGAAACTTAGACTGCAAAAAATTTCATGCTTCCCTAGTTAAACTTTTTAAAGAATTAGCTTTTTATGACATTACTGAATTTTCTCAATTTGATTTCAATAACTATTTTCTTGCATAATCCTTATCCTGTATCTATGTAGTCTGACCATTTGATCGCCTGTACAACCATATATTTTTTTTTTCATTTTTTTATTGCTATTTTATTAATATAATTTTTTTAAATGAGTATAACTTTCAACCTTGTGCAAGAATTTTGAGCTCGACTAGTGGTCAAATAGACTTTAATATGATGAACTTGATGATGAACATTGTACTTAATGTTCGAATGCTTTTTTTTTCAGCTCTTTTTTTTCAGAAGCGAAATTACTATTCTTTTAATATTAACTATGAATAAGCTTGACAAGAGCCTGAAATAATATCTATTATTATTGATTACGGCTTGCTTATGAATAAATAAAAATATATAAATATATATATATATATATATATATATATATATATATATAAATTTCTATTTAAGGGTTTGCATAGGAAACGAAAGCGAAAGAAGAAACGGCGCGCGGGCAATTGCGGAACAAAAGAACCAAAAAAACGAACCATGATCTTCGAAACCGCCAGAATGAAAAGACAACAGGTATAGCCCAATATAGATAATATATATATATATATATAAAATAAATAATTATTATATTACTAATTATTTATTATCCTTTTAGGGTAACTTGTTGTCGAGAAGAGCAAGATCGATCAGCAGACCTCGACATGTCGAAACTTTGCTGGTGGCTGACAAATCGATGGTGAACTTCCACAGCGATACGGATATTGAAGCATATTTGTTGACAATTATGAACATGGTAAAATAATTGTTAAATTGTAAATAAAATGATAACAGTTGCCAAGTAACCCACAAGACGTAATACAGCTAGTTAGAATTTGGCCCTTATATGTTGTAATATTTGGGGAGTTCAGGACTGTTTTTTTACATTTGTATAAATAACGTGGAAACTTTGGAAAGAACATTCTTTTTAATTATCTGGGCAGAAACTTGATATAATTTACTACTTTTCCATATAAAATGTTTTATATAGTGTTATACAAAATTTTTAAATAAAATGAGTGTGAACTCATTCTTATACCTTGAGTATATTTGATATACACATATAGATTCTGGTCATTTTTTAACATTCCGTTGAATAACTTAAAAACTTTGGTCAGAAAAGTCTTTTCTAATTATTTTAGTAGAAACTAGTTAAAATTTAGAACTTTTTTATATAAAATGTTTTATATAGCCTTATACAAAATTTTTAAATAAAATGAGTCTCAACTCATCCTTATGCAATGTGTAAAACTCTTATCTAGTTAGCTTGGCAGAAACTAGATAAAAATTTACTGTATTTTCATTATTTTATTGCTACGATACGAAATTCTGAAAATATCTAGATTAAAAATAAATACCCCAAAAATGTATGAAAAATTAACAACTGTGATGTCATTGACTAGCAATAGCAAAGATTTACATTTTAATCTTTATTTTTTCTATCTTTTCGACATAAAATTTTACGTTATCAGTAGATCTACAAAAAACTATTATAGTAAAAACTATAGAAAATACGAAGAGAAAACAAAATGTTTAAACAAAAATATCTATCGCTTAATTAAAAAATCACACGACCCTAAATTTTCACCCTGCTATAAAATCCTTTTTAATAATAGTGATTTCAGTAATCGAATGAATTTTCATTCCGTTTTCAGTCAGTAAATATTTTTCACTGAATTTAAATTAAGATTTTCTTAAACTTATTAATCATATTAATTAATTAATTTTTCTTAAAAAAACATTTTAAAGGTTGTCATTTTCTTTACTTAATTTTTTCATATTGCGGAATTCGAAAATATATACAACCTTAGATTCAACACTCCTACTACTTCAGTACGTCGTAATTGTTGATAAAAAAAATCACTAATTTTGTTGCAAATGTCTTAAAGTATATCTAAAAATATCATTAGCCTGCAAAAAGTTATTTAATTGTTATTAAATTAAACGTTAAATGAAATTAAAAGTTAAATTTTCACCCTGCTATAAAATCATTTTTAATAATAATAATTTAAGTAATCTA